TGAGAGCGTCTACATACTGGGATGGCTTAACTGCGGACACGACACGGGAAAAATCCAACAATCAGTCCATACATACATACATACATACATACATACATACATACATACATACATACATACATACATACTTACATGCATACATACATACATACATACATACATACGTACATACATACATACATACATACATACATACATACATGCAAACATACATACATATGCATATACATATACATATACATCTACATATATATATATATATATACGCCTATATATCTATACACACATGTACATGTATATGTGCATGCATGCATGCATACATACACATATATAACTTCACACATGCGGCTTGAGATTTCTGCAATATGCAGTTCTATCAGAGTATGATCATGGTTAACTCTGTCCAGTTTGTTGGGATTGTTTTTTAGTATAGTGCGGGGCGTGCGGGTGTATGACGGTGGGTTTATGGGCTTACAAGTCGTTTCGGCAAGTTTCTACCATCATTTCACAGGTTAACTCTGTTTGGTATCCATCCGTATATAACCGTGGTGAAGTCCATACCATATGCACGTTCTACTACACCCCGAACCCTGAACCCGCAAACCCAAAACCGTACAACTCCGTCAGCAGCCCCACCACCTGGCAAGCTGAGGGAAGTTCATTAGATCTGGTTTTTCTTCATGTTTAGCGTGTTTCCATTGAGCAGGGCGTTCGAGTGTTTGGGTTCAACACCGGTGGAGGCTCTCAACAACTCGGCGGCACTGTTTGGCTTCTCCCTGCTGTTCATTATCTCCGGATACCTCGAGGTTGTCGTCTTGACTCAGGACGTGCTGAGGGAAGGTGGATTAGGGAAGGCCACGCTGTGGGGGTTTGAGGTTTTGGGTTACCCATGGGCCCCATAGTAGTTCCTTTTTGTGGCTTATATTTAGAATCCTATTAGGTAATCCCAAACAGGAACTACTATGGGGCCTATGGGTCAGGGTAGGGTCTGTAGGGCTGTCCGGAGGCGTCAAGGTGCCATCTTGACGGGCATCCGGGAGTTGGAGGTTGTAGGCTTTATTCTCTTAATCAAGCTGTTTTCCGAGTTCCCTAAACCCTAAACCCTACATGCTGGCAGCCGGTCTTGTGGAATCGTTTTGAGTTTGGGGCTTTGCTTTTTGTTTTTTCCCCGTGCTTTTTGCCCCAAAATGGGCACCTTTACGTTGTTTTTGGGTGGTTACTCAACGGCATCTGAGAAAGGTTTTCCCAGCGACTCCAGGACCCTTCGCTCAGGATCCCAAGCAGAAGAAGCCTGGGTAGAGTTAGAGTTTACGGATTGTTGTTATCATTATTCAGTCATTATTTGTTTGTTATTATTCTGGTTGTTATGATTACTGTTATTATAACATATCATCTAAGGACAGTGTCTTCCTTAGATCCTGTTATCCGGCACTTGAAAGGATCCCCAGTTCTCTGCGGACGAGTCTGTATGGTCTAGCGTTCAGGATTCCTAGAAAGCCAATAGGAGAACTTTAAACATGTTGGCCTTATCTATTAGGTCTGTCCTAAAAAGTTAGAACTTTTTTGGGCCTGGTTGTTGAAGAAGAGAGCCTAGAGGGTCTAACGAGTTTGGGTGTAAGATATGCGGGCTTGGGGCGAGCTCTATTACGAGGTTCAGGGTGATTGTGCTTATGTGTCTATGTCTATGTGAATGTATGACTTCGTGTGTATCTGTATATGCATGATTAAGTGTGTGCATATCTGTACATAAATATACATGTATGTATATGTATGTATGCATATATAAATATAAACACATATGTATATATATATATATGTATGTTTATTTATTTACATATACCCATATAACAGGCATCGTGTTCAAGGGTTAGGGATTTTGAGGACTTCGGGTTCAGGGTGCACTGCCTCCTGAAATGCTCCAAGATCAGGGAGTTGTTCATTGTTTTTTGGTGAGGGGCGGGGTTAGCAGTTAAGGGGTTTAGGGTTCAGGGTTGTGGCATGGAAGCCCTAAATTTTTTTTGTGAGGGGCGGGGTTAGCAGTTGAGGGGTTTAGGGTTCAGGGTTGTGGCATGGAAGCCCTAAAATCGGCCCGGTGCCGGGTTTAGGGAATTGAGGTTCAGGGGTTTCGGGAGGCTTTGGGGGCTTGGGCCCGTAAGCCCAAAAACCCCAAGCCTCTCTGCCCGACTGCTGGGCTTTTAGACCCCGGCCTTGCACACTATATAAAATCCTGTAGGGTTTAGGGCTTAGGGGTTTAGGGGCTTAGGGTGTAGGGGTTTAGGGGTTTAGGGTTAGGGGTTTAGGGGTTTAGGGGCTTAGGGTTTAGGGTCTAGGGGGTAGGGTTTAGGGTTCACACCGTGGCCCCTCAACAAAAAGACCCGTAGCTCACCTAATCGCAGAATATCTCAAGACTTGACAGCAAATCTAGATCCCAAGCCCCCTGCCCCAAGCTTTAGGTACACCACGATTGAAATAGCCCTTGGTTAGGGTTGAGGGTTGAGGGATAGTCCTGTAAACCCTACTCCTGCCCTATCATGTCTTATTCTAACACCAGGGTTCCCCAAGAGAACCCTCGACGAACCCTGACTCCAAACTCTAAGCACTAAAGCCTGCACCCTACACCGCAAGCATCCGCAAGCCCTCAAGCGACGGTAGAGAGAGAGAGAGTGTGTGTCTGTGTGTGTATCATATATATATATATATATATATACTAATGCATATATATATATATATAGATGCTCAGTTTTATTTTTTGTTCATATTACATTACCTTTATGTCATAATCATATAAATCTATACACATCTAGAATGTCATACATATATGCATTATACACATACATAAAGAAAGAGAGAGAGAGAGAGAGAGAGAGAGGACGACCGAGTTCGAGCCGGTTCCTTCGGTGATCCCTTGGGCTTCGCAAAAATGATGAACCTCGAGGCGTTGCAGAGTGCTGTAATGGATTCGGTTTAGGGTTTAGGCTGAAGTTAGGGTTTAGGACGTTAAGTTCAACCCTACACTCGGAATACTAGAAGGTTTTCGGGCTTTTCGGGTATCCATGAAGAGGCTGCTATATGGGTTTAGGGCTTGTAATAGCGATTCTATGAAGAGTCTATGAGGTTACTGTAAGGGTTTAGGGTTTTTAGAGCTTGCGAGTCCAGTTTGGGTCTTAGAAACAGGGTGGTGGTGCACCGTTGCTTGGGCGGGGATTGAGGGATAAAGAGGATGTGGTGCACCAGCCCAAGTCCCTCCGCACAAGTCTGGAAGAAGGTAAATCCTATCTAATCTAAACCCCAAAACAGCTCCGTCTTAGTTTCGGGGTTGCGGTTTTTGGCTAGTTTAATCTCAGGCTACCTAGCTTCCTCACTAGCACTTCCAACATTGAACCGGTTGGACATATGGGAGTTTCCGAACATTAGGGGTACCTTATTTTGGGGTCCTTATATTAAGGATCCTATTATTTAGGGTACTATATCAGGGTCCCCTATATTCGGAAACCCCCATATGAAGGAACTGCATTGAATGGTATATGCAGGGTGGAACCTTGGCCAGCTCAAAGGAACAACTCCTGCATGGCCTTCGAGATTCTGAAAGCCTCTGTGCCACTGGGTTTAGGGTTTAGGGTTTTAGGGGGCAACCCTCAAGAAGTTGTCCCAGGGTAAGTTGAGACACGAAACTGTGTAAGCGCAAACTCGCCGTGAAGAAGAGCTCTTAGCGGTACTTCTTGAAGCCTGCTCGATGGCAAACCTGAAACCCTGAACTCTACATCCTAAACCCTACCTCGAGGGTCATACCGTAGGCATACCCTACCCCTTGTTCAGGGCACCTATTTTTATGGTCTGGACCTGTGATTTCGAAAGATATAGGTACCCGAAAATATGGTAATTTAGTGTATGACTCTCTAGGTAGATGCGAAGCCCGAAATGCAAAAATGTGACCTCCAGAAACATCCGGATGACCTCCTTGCAGGGTTTAAAATTTAGAGGTTTAGGGTTCTTGCAGAAGGATGGCGGAGACAATCTAGACATGCAGAACAAGGCACCCCACGCTGGGATGCGGGCATAGGGCATCAAGAGGGTCCATATATACTACTATTCTGGAATTAAATCCCCCGACACCATGTATATATGGACCGTCTGGGGTATCAGGTATCCGCTCTTGGTGCTCTAGATGTACAGGGCTAGTTCTGTGAAGAGTCTCGGAAGGGGTCTGCCGTCTAGGATCGGGATGTTGGTGGATTCATGTGCATAATGCAGCTGTTCGTCCTGATTGTCTAAGTTAAGATATGGGACCACGTTTAGTGTGCCTCCGCACTTCGAGTTCCTGTTGGCGAATTTCCCAGTCCCGATTCGATGATAAACATGGTCATTGTGGCAGCAGAATAGGTGGTGACATAGTAAACGGGACTCAACTGAAAATCTGGTCATTTTGACAGCAGAAGGCGGTGTTAGACAAGAAGCCGGTCATGTCAATAGTGGGTAAGAGTGGGACGACAAAGGCGATTAGGGACGATTAGAAGAGCTGTCACCGTCAGCACGGCGGACAGTTGTAGAAATTACTATAGTGACACGGAGCATCGTCATGACAGCAGCACCCAAGGTAACAGTTGGAGCCAGGCAGCTTTGTATACGACTCCATGGTAGCTCCTAAACCCTAAACCCTAAACCCTAAACAACCTTAACCCCCTCTTAGCCGTGACTGTGCTTGATCTCCAGTGTTGTCAAAGCTATTCAGAGCGAACTGCTGGGATGCTGAGGTTTCATGCAATCTCGTAATTAACAAGAAGCAGGCAGCACACAACACATAAAGGAGTGTAACTTCACGAGGAGTGCTGTGAATGCAGCATTATGCTCAACACGGCGCAGCGGCGAAGTGCGCTATTCGGGATTTCGGATTGTTTGGTTGATTTCGCTGCGGTGATCATCTTCAATGCTCCACTTCCTGCCTCTCCATTTCTCGCTGACGTTGGATGGACCCGTTGGAATCCTTCACCCTTGGAAGCCCAGCCACTCTCGAAGCCCTAAACTCCCTAAACCCTAAACCTAAACCCTCAGCCCTGAACGTTACACTTGGTGGTACGAGAGGAGCTCAGCAACGGGCGGCTGGCCATGATCGGCATTGCTGCTGTGGCCATTACGGAGCGACAGGGCCCTAAGGGACTACTGAGTTCGGGGCTTAGGGTTTAGGGGTTTAGGGTTTAGGGGTTTAGGGTTTAGGGGTTTAGGTGTTTAGGGTTTAGGGGTTTTCGGGGTTTAGGGTGTAGGGTTTGACAAGAAAGGACTGACAAAGATGGCAGAGTGGTCCATGCAAGTAGGCAGGCAGCTGTTGCGAATTTCAGGGCTTTCTGGAAAACCTGATGCATACGGTTTCTAGAAAAGCTGTAGCAGTAGCATCAATCAAGATATGGCAGATAGGGCTGCATGATTGTACCAGCGAGGACAAGTAGGATGTTCACCACGTTACGCATGATAAGCTAAGCTTGGGGAGTTGTGCTTCTACGTGCAAAAAACTGAAAACCCGACATGCATGCGTACGTAGATACATGCATGAATCCATGCCTTCAGCATTCATATATGCACGCATGCATGCACACACACACTAACACTCACGCACTCACGCACATACATGGTACATACACACATACATACATACACACATACATACGTACACAGATAGACAGACGGTCAGACGCACAGACCGACAGACGCATACAGCGACAGCACCGCTTAAGACACAGTCTTGTTGAGGGAGGGGACCTCCGATTTCCACAAGTTTCCGGGCTTGAAGGTACCCTTTGATGTCTTGGCTCAATCTCACCTTCTGTTGCGAGGTCTCCAAATTTAGCCAAAGGGAATCCCCAAAACACAAGGCCCCAGATCCTCCAATTTTCGATGTGCGTAGTGCTTCTTGATTTAATTTGTCGCACGGCTGCCCGAGGGGCTCAATTTCATGTCGAAGCAGGGTTTAGGGTTAGGGTTTAGGGTTAAGAATTATACAGCACGATCCCTTGAAGGAGAAACTCACTGGCTTGGATGCCGGTGAACAGCTCGGTGCGGCCTGGCTAAAACTAGACGTGGCGATAACCATGAACAATAATTTGCACAAGAGTTGGGTTCATTACTCATGATTACTCATGCTATCCCTGGGGCTTCCGTAATATGTGTAAACCATCAGATACCTCCGGGCCCCAAATCATGTTGAAATTGTGAAGGCCCCGGTATTATATACTTACGCCTTTCAGCAAAGGCCTCAAAGTTTACGACAAAGCTGCAGCACCATGTAATCATTGCAGTAGGGTTAAGGGTAGTCAAGGGTTCAGAGTTGAGGGTTTAGGGACGAGGCAGCCCAAGTACTCCGCAGACACAGCTGGAACGTAAGTCATATCAGCTTACAAGCCCTGCATAGGGCTCATGTACGGTACCAAATTATATAATTAGTGGCTACTTTAAGAACAAAGTATGTACTATGTGATAATGGAACCTTAGAAAGGCCCTAGACCCTAAACGCTCCCTACTTCACTGCAGACAAGAAGAATGCTGAATCATGACTGTTCCGCATAGAGAAAGATGTGAACATATGTGCATGTATGCACTGCATCCGTTCATGAAATCACTTATCGGTTTATAAACCTGTGCATGTGTACCTGTTCGTTCTAGGGCCTGCAAAGCCAAGGAACAGCAGTCAGTTGTCGTAGCGTGGAAGCCTTGGACTGTCCACTGGATTCAGCTCCAGAGCTTCAGCAGGACTTCAAGACCTGCCACCCCTGATGAACGGTTTAGGGTGTAGGACACTCTAAATCTTGAACCCAGCACTGCGACGTTGAGCCGTCTGCAAGGCCATGTTCAGGGGCTCCTAGTGAGGGAGAAGTGAGGGGACGACCGGCGATGTAACGATCGTGTCGACTAGAGCGGCATGCAAAAAGCTTACTTTGTTTCGGAGATCGAATACTTCAGTACTTTGCCCTGCTACTCGAAGATCGAAAATGTCGCGTCGACTATTGCTTCCTCTTCTGGCATAAAGCCGCTTGAACAGGATCCTGACTCCGTTGCACTGAAAAGGAGGAGAAGTTACACTCGTACCCCAAGATAGACAGTTTCGGTTCCCACCTTCAGGTTTTGGTGCAAAGAGTAGGGATCTCGCGCTACACCTCACCCAAGTACCATGCAGAGTTTTCTCAGCAAGCTCCGAACCACGAAGGCTACCCTAAACCCTAAACCCTAAACCCTAAACCCTAGCAGCCCGGAGATTCCAAGCTCCGCCGACAAGACCAGAAAGATTAACGGTTACACATGTTTTTATCAATAAAATGATTAGAATTCGAATATGAAGGGTTACAAAAACTATGACTATAACTATGACTAGAATTCGAAGTGTAACTATATAGCTGTATCCATAGCTACAACTTTTGCTATACCTCTACTTCCGCCCTAGGGATCTCAAGGATATTGGAGTCTCTACCCTACCACGAAACCCCTAAACCCTAAACCCTAAACCTCCCGAACCCTAAACCCCAAACCCAAACTTCTCGACTTTGTGGACCCTGAAGCCCCAAAGCGCCAATCATAAATCCAGGATGCCCCGGCAGTGCTTATCCGTTTTATGATGAGGGTTTAACCGGAGACACATATACGGTTTATAGGGTTTAGGGTTTACGAATATGGATAGATACAAAAGATCAAACATCACTGTGCGCATCTAAGTTTATATCATGTGTTACCAACCAGCTGGACGGGGGTTTGAATTCCCATGATCAGCGCGTGCCTCTCAGAAGATGTGTGCGGGGCATCCGAATTTTCCACACTGGTTCACAGCCAGAAAAGACTGGTTTTCGATGGCGAAAGCAGGTTCAAAAGCAAGAAGCTCCGGTATTTGGGCATTGAAGCTTCAGTTCGGGGTCTCCCTAATACCCTTAACCGTCTTTAGGGCTTTGGGGCTCTAATATAGGGGCTTAAATAATTACCTATACTATTTTGGGGGTTCCTTATTCTGATTATAGTATAATGGGCCCCAAACACCCTATTCTAGTTATTAAGGCGCCTACATTACCGTCCTCTCTCCCGCCCCTCTTGAGGCTCCTGTCTTCATCTTCCAGTGTTCACTCTCAGTCTCCTAAACCCTAAACTCTACGCATAGGCCTCATAGTAGTTCCTTTGTGGGGTTCATATTTAGAATCCTATAAGGTAATCCCAACAAGGAACTACTATGGGGCCTATGAGTATGCCCTAAACCCTAAACTTAAAAATCCGGCCGTCCAGAGCGAGGCTGCTGAGGTGTACTTTGAGATGTTTCCGGATGTCGCGCCAGGGCGTTTTGAGTTTGGGGCGTAGGGTGGTGGAGAACATCGCAATGAATATAGAAGCCTCAAGATTAGGAGTAGCATTCCTTCAAAATCCTTCAAAAAGTTCTGCAATATACCCCACCCCCCTCCCCCCCCACCAAAAAAAAATCTATCCTTATCATAGGAGGCCCCGATGCTATGTCGATCGGAAGACTGCCAACATTCCTTTTTCACGCGATGATCCTCAGCTTTGTCCTCCCCCAGATCTTTTCTCTATGCCTTGTGGGACTCGACGGTTTAAGGCTTCGGCCTTCGTTCAATCCGGGGTTCAGGGTTTAGGCTTTAGGGGTTTAGGGTTTAGGGTTCAGGGTTTAGGGTTTAGGGGTTTAGGGTTTAGGCGGCATCCACCAGTGAAGAGCTTCCAACAGCCCGAAGCTGACTCTCAGTGGTTGTGTCGCGCAAGGGTAGACGACTGCAGTAATACGCAAGGAATCCACTTCGGGGTCCTTTTAGGGTTTAGGGTTTAGGGTTTCAGCTTAACAGATCGGGGGCGGATCCTGAGAAGTGGCGGACAACCCGGTGCCGAAGGCCCTTAGGCCCTAAAGCCCTAACCGGATTTCCTAAACCCAAAAACTAAGTCCTCCCTGCTCCCTACCCGGACCCCAAACGTATGTAGAAGAATGGCCCTTTTGATTTTGGACCATTGTTTTTTACCTAATTTTGGGGTTTAGGTAACCCCTAGACCCCAAGCCTAAGCCGCTGGGAAGGTGGGTACCATCCTCGCCTTTGACCCGACGACCGGCCGGTACCATGTGCAGCTCGCAGACGGGGCCGTGAGGCCGAAGAAGAGTAGTCATGTAGGGTTTAGGGTTTAGGGTTTAGGGTTTAGGGGCCTTACAAAGATTAGAATAGGATTTTGGGGTCTCCTGGTGATAATTCTAGTACAATATATTCCCACAAACCTGTTCGAATTATTAAGGCCCCTATATTATATGTCGTCGACGTCGTAGCAGTAGTTTAGTAGTACTTAGTAGTAGTAGTAGTAGTAGTAGTAGTAGTAGTAGTAGTCGTGGTGGTGGTAGTAGTAGTAGTAGTAGTGGTAGTAGTGGTAGTAGTGGCAGTAGTGGTAGAAGAAGTAGTGGTGGAAGCAAACTCGCGGCGCAAGTGTCTCTACGACCACTATTACGACTGCTGTAGTACGTACCAGTAGTGCTCGTTTGCAAGAAGTACGAGTATGGCAACTACCAGTAGGAAGGGCAGGAGCAACATTCTCATGTTCGTTGAGTGCTCGTCACCGCAGTTGTTTTTTTCGGTGCAGTGGTAATTGCACTGGTGTGTGCTGCGATTGGTATTGTGCCATGTCTGTGACTGTTCTCTCGTACTACTACTACTGCTGCTGCTGCAGTGTGGAGACAAAGGCAGTCCCTCATGGCAGCTGCTACGCAGCCTCTTTTTAAGTAGGAGTTGTGGTTACCTTAGCAAGGAGAGGAAACAATGTCTCTTGTATTGTAGTGATACAGTAAGTAGCAGATAGCAGAAGGAAAGCTTAGGGTGGCAGTGGTACGCGCCTTGAAGGGAGGTCAGATCCTGAAATCGTGCAAGTCCGAGAGTCCGAACTCGGATAGGAGTGGTCACAGGCGTCTCCACCCCAAGGCCTCACATAAGGAGCAGATAGGCTGGACATGGAAGTCCTCATCATCGCGCCAAATCCATCACTAACATTCCGCTACGGCCATCATCCCTCGCCATCATCATCATCATCATCATCATCATCATCATCATTCATCATCTTCATGATCGCCACATCGTCCCCCATCAGTGTCATCATCACCATCATCTTCACCATGGTTTGTGTTCGCCTTGCATCCAGGGCCATTCGCCCGCCGCATGTGGTGGCCCGAAGCTTTGCATCCCAGGACGAGGCAGGCAGCAAGCGAGGCTTGAGGTTTGCAGCCGCTGTTGCATGCCAACCAGACATGTTGATGAGCAGGATGAATGATGCAGTTTTATAGTGTTTTGTTGCAGATCATGGGGCTCTGCTGATGAAGCGATGCTGATTCTCATGGAAAGCGAGGCTATCATGGCAGTCCTCTCCCAATGTTGGCGGCGGCAGTGGTTGCTGTAGTTGCCAGTGTGGTGGTGATAGTCGTTGGAAAGCAGAGTTGACGGTGATCCCGCGTTGTTGACAAGGCCAAAGGTCGTTGTGTTCTTGTCGCGCCCGCCCTGCCGGTCGTCACTGTTGTTGCTTCGGTTCCACATGGCATTGCTACCCTAAACCTAAACCCTAAACCCTAAACTAAACCTTTTTCGGATCCACATGGCACTGCTACCCTAAACCCTAAACCATTTCGGATCCCCGTGGCATTGCCCTTGCTGTGTTGCTGTTTCTGGTTCTAGTTGACGGGTTTCGGGAACTCTAGGGGCCTTAATAATTAGCCCGATTCGAATATGAAGGCCCCTGGATTACATGATCGCAACACGTCGGCATGATGGGAGCGCAAAGCGACACAGTCCATCCAAGCATATCCAGGCATTTTCGCAACCAAACCGACTGATGACCTGGAACCCGCAGCCTGTTTGCTTAAGAATAGACTTCCCAGGGGCCCCATTGACAGTTCATCGATCCTCTCAACTTTCCAGCTGAGCAGGAGTACGGAAAGTGGACTGCACCGGCGCCGGAGACATGACCTGAGCCCACTATTACAGGGGCCTTAATAATTAGAATAGGATTCGGGGCATATTTATACTGTAATTATAATAAGGAACCCCCAAAACCCTATGCTAATTATTAAGGCCCCTACATCAGAGCATTGTCAGGGTTCAGAGCTTCGGAGGTCTTGTGGGAGGTTTCTATGCTAGGATGCAGGGTCTGGGGGGTCAGGACCTCCATGGGCTTAGGACTCTTAGGGTTTGGGGTTTAGGGTTTGGGGTTTAGGGTTTAGGGTTTAGGGTTTGGGGTTTAGGGTTTAGGGTTTAGGGTTTAGGGTTTGGGGACTCATGCCAGAAGTGTTGGTTTCAATTGGGTTTTGTCGGGGTCGTGATCGCTGGCAAACCCAACACAGGCAGCGCAGGATCTTGTATTTCCAACTTCCGCGTTCTCTCGTGACATGCGAAGCGAAACATGTCCAGAGGTCCCCGCATCAAGTTGGGAATTCTGCACGACGGCTTACACACTCAGAGACGTAATGCTGACGCCATACCTACACCACCTACTTACCTACCTACCTGCCTGCCTGCCTGCCTGCCTACCTACCTGCCTAACTACCTTTATAGAACAGAAATATGGACATACACGAGCACTTACAGACATACATGCGTGCATGCCTACATACCTACGTACGTATGTACATGGCACATGCCCAAGCACATGCACACATACAAATACACAAACACACATGCATGCATGCATGCATGGATGCATATACAAATACATGCACAGAGACATGCATGGAAGCCTGCATATACGTGCACACATCCGCACATACGCACATACGAAGATATACGCATACGCATACTCACATACACACATGCATGCCTGTGTGCATGCAAATGTACATACCCTGGCATATGTTCATGCACACCTACATACACACCTGCACAGACTTATATCCATACAAGCAGAGTTGTACCGAGACTGCTGCTACTTTGTGCTACTGGTTCTGTTTGTAGGACCTGGAGTAAGGTACGATACTCAGTACACAGTGTCCTTCAATGCCTTCCTCGACGTACTTCATTCCCGAACTCGTAGCACCAAGTTCAACTCCTTCTATTCGCACCCTGGGACTGGAGCGTTGAGAGCAGGTGTGCTGACGATGGTGGTGATGTTGGTACTGATGCTGAGCAGGATGTCCATAGACTAGCTCGTGTCGATTGTCGCCATAGCTACCGGGCGACGGCCATGTGAAGGGCGGCGGACTTCAGTGGGCCAGTGGTGGCCAATCAGTTGCCAAAATGCACACAGCTCACTTCGCCACAATTCCGAACGAACAGCCGTCGGGACGATCTCGGTAGTCGTGTCATGGTCGCCAAGCCCGCGTGGCAACCAACACGATCATGAAAAGAGCCCATCGAGCACCAGCCGCCGCAGTGTGCTCTGGGCTGCAAACCCAACCACTGACGGCTGAGTCACTTCACAAACGCCTGGTGGATCTCAGTAGTTCTGCCATGCAACAGATAAGTTGCTTCTTCTATCCGCGCTTGTTGTGTGTGATCTGTGTGCTGAGATTCTGAGATACTTGAATCGGTTCTGGACGGGAGCCAGATGTTCCGCGACCGCCTACGATCCGAAAACCCTAAACCCTAAACCCTAAAACCCTAAAAACCCTAAAACCCTAAAAACCCTAAACCCTAAATCCGAAACCTCAAGCCAGCGAGGCCGGGCTATGTCGACGAGCCCGAGCCTCCCGAAGAGGCGCTTTCCTTTGGCTGCCGCTTCGAATCACATGGGTAGTTCTCTAAATTCGGGTCCCTTTTAGGGCTCCTTAAAGGGATTTAGGGTTTAGGGTTTAGGGTACTATAAGGGCTCTAGAACTAAATTCGGGTCCCTTTTAGGGCTCCTTAAAGGGATCTATAAGGGTTTCTATAAGGGTACTATAAGGGCTCTATATGTATATGGGTAGTTCTCTAAATTCGGGTCCCTTTTAGGGTCCATTGTTTCTAAGGGTGCCGTACTATATTGGGGACTCAAAAAGGGACCCTTATTTAGAGAACTACCCACATATTGGTCATGTAGAGAATGTAGGGGCTTTGCATAATCAATAGACTGGGAAGCCCTAGACCCTTCTCTTGAAGGGTTTTGGTACTGTTATGAGGAATACTACAAGCAAAAGAGTTCTATATTGTAGGGGCCTGATGATGAGAGAAGGGTTCTATACAGAATACTCTACTACAGGTACATGAGGGTCATATAAGGGGGTACTAATATGAATCGCGCAGACCCCTAATTATATTATGCGTGACAGCCCAGGGTGTCTAAGGTTAAAAGTATGGGCCCCCAATAAGGACCCTTATGCCTTTCTACAGGGACTCTTAAGGGTACATATAGGGTAGAAAGTAGGTGCATAGGGATCCCGGGGCTAAGGCCCCATACTAGGGGCCCATGGTTTCAACCTTAGAGGGTGTGAAGAAGTTTGGGACTTTGGGCTTTTAGGTTTCTGGGAATCTGGGGTTTGGACGGCTCAGGGCTTTCGAATGCCATACTGTTGATGATATAAATCCTGCATTACCTTAACGACCCTAAACTATGGGAACTAATGGTGTGCTCCTTAGTATGGGTAATGCAGGATTTCTACCATCAACCGTAATTAGCATGGTTGGACCCTGCAGTGCTATGCGTGTTTTCTTTGATACTTTGCACTATTTAAAGCGCTTTTCCCACGAGACATTGGCTGGCATTTAAACGTAGCGGTAGCAGTGGCAGCTGCAGCAACAGCAGCAGCAGGAGAAGTAGTGGTAGTATAGTATTAGTCGTCGTCGCAGCATTTTCCTTCGTACCAGCATCAGTTACTCGTGGCCCATGCCATTTCTTGCTTGGTTCATCTCGCCAGCTTCTGCAGTATGATCCTGTTTGGCTATCTGGTTGAACTGTTGAGCGTGATTTCTAGATATTGTTCCCGCATGCAGGATGCAATCATCCACGGGTTTTGGACTGCAGCTAGCTTCTGAGCTGTAGGGGTGTAAGGACGGGAATGTGTAGCATAGTACATTGCCCGTGCAGGATTATGTGCTAGGCCTCACTCAGTACACCTCGGCATACCAGAACGTTTTGAAACGATCTACCACGATTCAGCTCAGCACGACTTAACAAGCCTTGTCTCCAGAGCTGCGCTAACCTGAGGATTGAAAAATAGTACTATTACTACTTGGGCTCCATATTATAGCTGCCCTAAGCCCTAAACCCTACACCGATTATAGCTATACTCTGTTATACACCGACACGCTATGCATTTAGGCTTACATGTTAGCTCTTGGGCTCAAGAGACTGTCCCGACCAGGAAGGCATGTTAGGAAGCGAGTGGCTGTAGCTGAAGCCCTAAACCCTAAACCCTAAATCGAAGACATTCCTCAGTATGGGCTTAGGGTTTGGGGTCTACGGTTTATGTTTTTTGTGATTGCTGCTGTTGCCACGGGCAGTTTCATCATGAGTCGTGCTATCGCTGCTACAGTGTTTCTAGTGTGTGCTTTTTCATACCACAATTGTTTGGCTGCGAGAAGTGATGCCTGCCAGTCTCGCACACTACTTTGTGTGACGAAGGAGTCCTGCAAGGCAAGCAAGGAAGCCCAAGTCACTTAGTTCGTGATGGAAGGTGTGAGATTTCCTAGGCTTCCGGGTCAAATTTCTGATTACATCTGCCAGCAGAGTCCTTGATGAACCCTATAAACCCCTAAACTTTGAGCTGTTTGGGCATCTCCTCCAGCATGTGCCGACATGGCCACCGCGCTCGTCGAACGGGCGGCGTTCCAGGCCCCAGGGGATTTGAGGGCCTCGGGTCAAGGGCCGCAAGCATTGTTTAGGGTTTAGGGTTTAGGGTTTTTAAAGGAACTCTAAAAGGAATCGTAGACCCCATCGAATCTTCCACGAAGCCCAGGGGTTTGAATGAGTTTAGGGCTTATAGATGCTTAAGATTTAGAGCGTAGATTTGTTTGAGAGGCCCCAATTAAGACTTCGGTTCTTTTCGTGGTTATATTCCGGTACAGTCCGTACATAGTTTCCCAAAACCAATAGACCCCCCGCAATCCTATTCTGATTGTTCAGACTGCTATACCCATAAGCCCATAGTAGTTCCTTTTTGGAATTACCTTATAGGACTCTAAATATGAACCCCCCAAAAGGAACTACACTACTATGGGGCCTATGAGTACTATATATAAACCGAGGGAGTCCGGGCTTCCACAATGTAAGGTGATAGCGTCAGGGTGTCGAAGTGCAGGAGTACCTCCTCATCGTGCACCTGCCGCACAGCCTGGTTTCTGTGGCGAGGTGGACAAATTGAAAACTTTGAGGGAGAAGAGAAGCTAAGAGGGTTCAGGGGTTGGGTTTCATCCGGGCGCAGGGATTAGAAAGTTTAGGATTTGGAGTTTAAGTTTTAGATTATGCGTTTAGTAGTTCCTTTCCAGGACTCTCTTCCTGTCTTTCCATCACTGTGATCACCTCTGTATGCTTGCATTCTTAGTGTCTTTCTCGCTCACTCTCGCCCTCACCCGGAACTCTGAACCCTAAACGGCCCTACACCCCAAACCCGTAAACCCCTCTGTCGTGGTGTGATACTGTTGATGATGTAAATCCTGCATTACCTTAAGGACCCTAAACTATGGGAATTATGGTATGTTCCTTATATGGGTAATGCAGGATTTCCCTAAGCCCTAAACCCCAAACCTTATTATGGGTAATGCAGGGTTTCTACCATCGGATATGCCCTAAACCCCTAAAGTTTAGGGTTTAGGGTTCAGGGTGGCGTACGAATAATAATGATCATAGGTTTCTGCTAAGATTTCCATGAGGGTTTTAGGGCTTGAGAGCACGTGATTCAAGAACACATCCATCTCATTAAGGACGTCCTTGTTGACCATCGAAGGTGCATTTGAAGGAGGATGTTTAGGCTTTCGGGTTTCTTATTCGGTCGCCAAAACCCCAAACCCCTAAACCCCCACTAAACCCTAAACCCCTAAACCCCCAAACCCTAAACCCTAAACCCCCCAATATGCACTCACCGGCAGCTCCCAGGAGCCAGGAGCAGTCACCAAAGCCATATCCTAGATCCGGGGCATAGCTAGGGGTTTTGGTGCAGGGTGTTAGAGTTCAGGGTTTAGGGTTTTAGGGTTTAGGATTTTAGGGTTGAGGGCTTCAAAAGCTCTCATAGGGGCTTGAATGCTTTGTTTCAGGATTTTCCTGTTTGTTTACGGTGGGTTTTGAAGAGTGTAGAGTCTAGGGCCTAGCTAGAGCCTGGATTCGCAAGAACACATGCTCACCGTACAGCGCAGGTCACTCGTAGAACACTAAGGGCCTGGTGGGCAACTCGAAGGGTTTAGGGTTCAGGGTTACGACCAAACAGGATCTTGGAGCCTAAAGTTCTTCGCCACTAAGACCCTGAACTCTTTGCAAGTGGCGATAGTTACGAGCATGCTTCCGTCTGCGGCTCTCGGATCTGAGTTTGTGTTTCGGTTCTATTTTAGTGTACCGCTTGCGGGAAGAGCTGCTTACAGGGCCTGCCAAGCCTATGTTCGAAATTGTTTCCTGATGGCCTTCATCCAAACATCAGCACCACCCAAAATGCTGATCCTAATTTCCCAAATCCGAAACAGCTAAACCCTATAACGCTTTCACCCAGCCTAAACCCTAATCCTGAAGTCCTACGGTCCTAAACCCTAATCCTGAAGCCCTAAACCCTAATCCTGAAGCCCTAATTCAACCCACCCCCCCGGCTCTCATCCCTGAGCCCAGCTACGCCGCGCTCGTCCCTTCAGGCTCCAAGGGCCTGGATATTTAGTAGGGGGGACGGAGCACACCGTCAGCTATTCCAAATCTCGCTTAGTCATACTTAACACGTGTTGGTTAATTCGTCATAGCAGGACGCTACCGATACCACCAATAATACTGTTGCTCCCACTAGTACTACGACCCACCACCACAAGTATCTTTAGAATTCTTAAACCTCCTAAACCCTACTAAACCCTACTAAATCCTAAACCCTAAACCCTAAACCCTAACCCCTAAAATGCTTGGGCCTCATGCGGCCCACGAGTTGGAGTTCGCCTCCCGCGTCTGAGTTGCCGGGGAGGTCGCAAGCCGCATCTCTGCTGAGATGTTCTGATCTCGGGGCCTTACCCTAAGGCTCTTATTGCTGTTATGGGCTTTCTAGGAGAAGGTTTGGGCTTTGGGGGCTAAGGTTTGGGCTTTCGCTATGGGTAACAACCAGAATAGGGTTGTGGGATATATTCTACTAGAATTATAATACGGAGGCCCCCCCCAAAACCCTATTCTACTTATTGTTAAGGCCCCATGTATTATACTAGAATTCCAGTAGGGAGCCTCCAAAAACCCTATTCTAATTATTCAGGCCCCTAAACTATAAGTTCGTATCAGTGAAAGGGTTCCTTTAAACCGGTTCCTTTCGAGTTCCTGTCAAGATTCCTGTGAGAGTTCCTTCGGGTTTAGGGTCTAGGCCCCTGTAAGGGCCCTGAAATGGGTCCTTCAATTTACGGGTTACCATAAAGCTTGCTATCTGAGTTGCCGAAATCGGTCGCGTTTTAAGAAACGAACCAGTCGCCAGTGTTTCGAAAGCAACTTGCCATAATGACGGCTTACAAGGTCGAAAACCTGGTTTAGTGAAGTTTAGTGTCCGGGGTTTGGGGTTGAGGGTTTGGGGTGCGGGATTCAGCGATGTTCAGGTGTAGGCTTCAGTTCATTCAGAG